TGGTGCAACCGCTGTGGAAATCAGTATGGAGATACCTCAAAGAACTAGGATTGGAAGTCCCATTTGACCCAGCTATCCCTCTGAGGGTTATCTTCCCCAAAGAATTAAAAGAATCATACCACAGTGATATATGTGCACCCATGCTCACAGCAGCACAATTTGTAATAGCTAAAACACGGAAGCAACCCATTTGTCCATTAACTGGAAACTCGATAAAGAAAAGGTGGGTTTAAAAAAAAAATAAAGTGGAGTACTACTGAGCCATAAAAAATGAGAAATTAAAGACATTTATAGCTAAATGGATGCACATTGAGGCAATACTCAAGTGAAATAAATAGGACACACATGGGTAAATACCAAGTAGTTTCTCTAGTGTGAGAAACTGAAAGTGTAAATAAGGACTAAAAGGTATAATAGATAATGTGAAATAGGAAGAAAAGAGGCAAAGGGGAAGGGGAAGTGGGAGGGGTAGGGGAGAGGAAAGGAGGGAATGAAATTAATTAGAGAAAATGAAAATGAAGTCTTTGTAGGTAGAGAGGGGTGGAGGGGTTGAGGGAGAGCAAGGGAATAGGGAAAAAAATAAGAACCAAGATGGATTATGTAAAGGTGCAAATGTCCACTGGTGAATGTCATTATATTGTATACCTTAAATGTACCAATAAAATTGATTAAAAAAAAGATAAAGCAGGGGCATTTGCATAATGGATTAGTTTCTGCCTTTGGGGGAACCTTGCAGTTCTTTTAGGAGGGAAAATATTTAGACCTGCTAAGATGAAGGAGCAATTAGCTGAGTTGTGTAGTGGGGGAAACAAGATGTTTTGTACACATGTTCTAGGCTCCAGGTCGCAAGCATTTGTGCTAAATCTTGGTTTAACAAATGACTAGTGCCTCAGAGGAGGGAGCTACGAATGTGAACTATCAAGGTAAAGTCAGGTGTGGTGGTAGATGTAGACTGCAGGTGAGACTTGGGGGGTGAGAGGCGACGTGGAATGAGATCCGAATGGATGTTAGCCACTAGGTTGTGGAGGGCCTCACATAGCGCAGTGAGGAGTTTGGGTTTGCCCTTGGTGGTGATAAGGAGGGACTGTAGAACAGAAGAGGGGCTTCACAGAAGCATTACTTATTCTTTTCTACATGTGGGGTAGTTTGGTCCTGCAGAAAAGCCCTATAAACCTTTTGTATTGGGGGTGTATGAACCAAAAGAAGCAGTATTGTCAAGTAGAGACCAAGCTATATTGCTGTAAGAAGAGAAAAGATATTATAAGAGCATGTTTTACCTTTGTGGCTTTCTCAGAAGCTTTTTGCTTGGTGGTTAAGGACTGGGGATTGGGATGCTTACATTTTGCTATCTGTACCTTCTACAGTTTCTTAAATGATTTACTGCTGATGGAGAGACAAAATATGGGTTATTATACTAGATTATATTAGAATGATCCATATGTAATTTGTTTTTTGGTATTAGGGATCAAACTTAGGACCTTGCACTTGCTAGGCAGGTGTGCTGCCACTGGGCTAAATCCCCAGCTCTAAGCTACATGTAATTTTTGCTTTAGTCACATTATAGAACTACTGGTAATTTCATATGGCTCCATTTCATTGATTTTGCAAGCACAGTTGTTGGAGGTGAATAGATACAGTTGGTCTTTGGCTCTCTAGTTAGGTTGATTGGGATGGACACCAGTATAATGCCACTATGGTCAGCCTGAAAAGTACCCAGTATGCAGTAGTCCTGGGGATGAGAATATTCCCGGGGACTAAGCCCATGCCCCATGGAATGTGCTGTGTTTTCCCTCTTCATCATGTTTGCTTTCCCTGCCTATGAACCTGGCATTTGGGGTTTCATTATTTTTCTCTTACTTATAAAGCAGCAAACTTTGCTGTACAATAGGAATTTTAAAGGAGGATGGGGAATGTAAAAGAGAGATTAAAAACTGGTCATACAAAAGTTTCGTTTTCCTAGTGGTTTTATGCACTTGGAATTGACAATGGCATTTCTGTTAGTCTCAGTTATGCTGGTGGAGGTGAGGGACTGAATTCTTACTCTTGCTAAGACCAAGGAGGTTTAAATGCAGTGGATTGACTATGCCTGATACTGGTGTGGCAGAGGCTGTTCTGTTCTGTCTTTATATTATTTTTTTCTTTACCCTGAGATGAGAGTTCCTCTTATGGGGCCTTGCTTTGGTTAAGCCATGTGGTGCTACAGGTTGTTCTAACCATGAGAGGCCAGGACAAATTTTGAGGTGCAGTCTTCTGAAACTGGCTTAGTCATCCTGAGAGCACATCTCCTCTTTCTCCCATCCCAACCCTGGCACCACTGAGCCAAATCAGTCATCACAACATCCAGACTCAACAGCTCCAGTGTTTGGAATTTTGAGGCTCTGGTCTCATTATGGCTTGCGTCTTCCTCCTAAATCACCGTACAGTATTCAAGGCCCATCTGTATACTGCTTTATACCTCCCTGAAATCCCATTCAAGACCTTTCGGTGGAACCTTCCTGCACCTTGTTCTGTGTATAATATTGCAGCAGGCTTAATGTATTCACTGAATGCTTTGTCTTCCTGATTATCCCCTGAGAATCCTGCTACTCTTTCTTCTTCTAGAATACAGGATGATTCTTTATGAGGGGCTGTGGATTTGGAAGGTAGAGCTCAGAGTTTAGATTCTCACAGCTTCTTCAGAGCTATTATTTTCTTCTCTCTTATAATATTCCCTTCTAGGCTTATATCATCTACCAGTTACTATGTAAATGACTGTCTGGTCATATTTTCATGTTACCAGCGTCTTTTGCTCCACCTTGAGTTTTACCTTCATTTTTGATCACCTCTGTAGCCATGTGGACAGACTGTCCAGCCCCATACTGTGTCTCCTTGTTCCCTCTGCTAGGGAGGCCTCTCCACCTCATCTAATGTTGAAGGCTCAACTCAACTCCTGTCTTCTGAGCATTCTTGGTCACTCATTCTCCTTTATCTGATACTTTATCTGGTACTTTATCTGATCTGTCTTTTGATGCTTCCAAGTTTTCCTACTGGGGTTTCCTTCCTCTGGCCTCAATCAACTGTTGATCCCTGGGTCTCCGTATCTTTCCTCACCTCAGTTTAGAAAAGCTTTAGTCTGAGTTATTGGCTAAGATATCTTATTTTTTTTATTCCTATACCATATCTTCTCAGAGAAAATGATTAAGACCTCATTTGCTTAGTTTGACAAATGTGCATCAAGGATGCTAAGCTCTATGAAGCACCAGAAAGAGAATGAGTGAGAAGAACAGCCTTTGGCAAACACGTGTCTGAGTCGTCTTGCATGGCACCGTTCCTCAATTCCTCGATGCAGGAAAAGCAAACCAGGATCACTGCTGCAGGTGTCTCTCCCTACCTCAGCTGCCTCAGACAAAAGTGGAGATAGAGCAGTTTGAGAGATTGTGAGAAGAAAAAAGATAGCAGATATCCATAAATAAATCTTTCAGCTGTAAACATGGTTGGTAAGCTCATAAATTTGTGGCATGTGGGAAGATCAGTACCAGCCACTACCTTGTCATCTGACCTTGACACCTGTGTCTAGATGGAAATCTTCTCAGAACAGATTGTACATTATACTTTAAAACAAAAGAAAACAAAACAGCACATTCTGTGTGGTTATGCTGGGCCAAACTGCCCATCTTGGGAAAATTGGAGTTACTGCTACAGTCAATTCAAATACACCTATAAATAATTACTTTTACCTTTTTTGTCAGAAGCATAAATTTCAGATTCCTGTGTGCAGGGTCTGGCATACAGAGATGTAGGGTTACTAATTCTTAGCCCATGCTCATAGTTTAGCTGAGTTACACATTGTATTTTTTTTCAGATTTTCTTTCCTGACTTAGATAGAAATTGGAGAAGCTGAACTACTTAATTATGGCTGGTACAGTTGATCAGGAAATGCAAAGTCTTGTTTTATTCATGCACATTCTCATCACTTAAGCTCTAAACATTCAACTTTAATCAAACCTTGGTTACTTTATTTTTTTTCTTCAGTGAAAGGTATTGCACCTGCTAAACATTCTGAGCTGCACTCCCAACCCTTTCTTTATTTTTAATAAGAAAGTTAAAAAAATCCAATCTGTATTTAGATTGAAACAACCTTCACCTTTATTATGCCAACCTCTAAGGCAAGAGAGGAATGCTCACTGTATTTCGTTGGTCTATCTGTTCTTCAGATGCCAGGTGAAGCTGTGCACAATAGATTTCAACTTTATGAATAAATTATGTCACTAATTAAATGAAATTATAATAAAAATAGATGTTAAGATTATAAGTACAGTACTGATAACTGGCAATTACTGTGTGTGTCCTTACTATGTGTGAGGCACTCTGTTAAGTGCACTGTAATTACTTTCTTATTTTATTCTTCACAAAACTCTGGGAGGAATATATCATCATTTCTACATTATGGATAAAAACCCTGAAATGTAAGTGATTTGTTCAAGTCAATGGCCACTCCAGAATTTAAATCTAGGTCTGTCTCAAACCTTGTGATCATAATCTCCTGCAATATCGTCTTACTTTGAATGATTTAAAGTATTAGCTAGGAAAACTATTCTTGGCAAACAGGTGATCTGAGTCCTTTAAAATTCTGGATGTTCTGGCTCCATGGTGTTTCTTGAGCTGCAAACCATGGGTTTTTGATCTCAGTGAAAAATGCTCAATGCCCAGCTTCCTTTGTGTTCAATAAACAAGGCCTTGCCTTGAGAGGACTCCCAACATGTGACCTGTCTGGGTGGTGTGTGTGTGTGCAAGGCTCAAGGAGCCACCTTTGACCAGTGCTGAGAGTTCTACACTGCAGCTCTCTCACAGAGGAGGTTGGGGATCAGACCACAAGCATAAAGCTCCATCATTTCAAACAGAGCCCATACTTATAAACTGTAATAGCAGACTAGTAATCTTTAGTAAAGTTTGCTAAAGCCTTTGTAAAGGGGCTCTTTGAACTCATCCTGACTAATATTCCATTCTTTTTCCTGTTGCAGGACGTCGAGGCCTATGCGACAATTCTCTAAAATATTTAAGCTCTAAAATCACAGAGCGAAAGCTACAGGGCACCTGGCTGCCTGCTGGCCGAGGGAGTCTAGAGAAACCACTCCCAGCCTCTTGTGGCTCTGTTGTGCCCATGTTCAGCCCTCAGAACGGCCTTCACTCGGTCCATTCTGAGAACAGCCTGCTGAAGCCCCGGGTTGTGACTGTGGTGAGGCTGGGTGGGCAGCCACTCCGTAAGGTCACCATGCTCCTCAATAGGCGGTCGGTGCAGACATTCGAGCAGCTCCTAGCGGACATCTCAGAAGCCTTGGGCTTTCCAAAATGGAAGAATGATCGTGTGCGAAAGCTGTTTAACCTCAAGGGTAGGGAAATCAGGAGTGTCTCTGATTTCTTCCGGGAAGGGGATGCGTTCATAGCTACGGGCAAAGAACCCTTGACGTTGAAGAATATTCAGATGGCTATTGAGGAACTATATCCTAACAAAAGCCGGGCCCTGACCTTGACTCAGCATAGCCGGGCCCCTTCTCCAAGGCTGAGAAGCAGACTTTATAGCAAGGTCCTAAAAGGGGGGCACCACTGTGGGGAGACTGGGAGTGGCAATGAGTCTGCCCAAAGCAAGGCAGTCATCAGGCATCAGGGAAAGTCCCCCATGGAGCCTGCGCTGGAAGATAAGGTGAGGGCCCAGAAGAAGTGGGTGAGGGGAAAGCAGGAGCCTGAACCTGGGAGCAAGCTGCCCAAAACAACCGCTCTGGAGGAGAGACATGAGAGTGGAGAGAAGCACCTGGGGCTGGAGATTGAAAAGACCTCTGGGGAGATTGTCCGATGTGAGAAGTGCAAGCGGGAGCGGGAGCTGCAGCAGAACCTGCAGAGAGAGAGGCTCTCTCTGGGGACCAGTGAGCTGGACATGGGCAAGTGCCAGAGGTATGATGTGGAGAAACTGGTGAGGACAAGAAGCTGCAGGCGGTCTCCTGAGGCAAACCCTGAACGTGGTGGGGAACGATGGAAGACTGACAGCCATTGGAGTAGCCCCAGGAATCTTGCTCAAGAGCTGAACAGACCTGGCAAGAACACAGACAAGAAAGAGAACAGAGACCCAGAGGATCAAGCAAACCATCCTCAGGGAGTAGCCATGACCAAGAAAGAGCTTGTTGAAGTTCCTCCAGTGACAGAGGAGGGTCCCAGGGATATGAAGAAAGACACCAGGTATGTTTGCAAGAACAAGCATGGTAACTGTCTCCTGAGAGAGCACCAGACTGAGCTGGACAAGCTATCTAAAACCCGAGGAGAAGAAAAGAAGGCAGAGAAGGAGAAGAAGCCAGGTGTGTCAGGAGGGAGGAAGATGACTGTCAGAGATGACACCCCTGCAAGGGTAGAGAAGGAGCCCAAGACCAGGCCAGAAGACAGCAAGCCAGAACGGCCCAGTGGCCGGAAGCTGCGGCCCGCAGGCATCATTGCCGCAGATGTGGAGAAGTATTACGAGACTGGCCGGGTCATTGGGGATGGGAATTTTGCTGTGGTGAAGGAGTGCAGGCACCGCGAGACTAGGCAGGCCTACGCCATGAAGATTATTGACAAGTCCAAACTCAAGGGTAAGGAGGACATAATTGACAGCGAGATCTTAATCATCCAGAGCCTCTCTCACCCCAACATAGTAAAACTGTATGAAGTATACGAAATGGAAACAGAAATCTACTTGATCATGGAGTATGTGCAGGGCGGGGACCTTTTTGATGCCATCATAGAAAGTGTGAAGTTCCCTGAGCCCGATGCTGCCCTCTTGATCATGGACTTATGTAAGGCCCTCGTTCACATGCACGACAAGAACATTGTCCACCGGGACCTCAAGCCAGAAAATCTCTTGGTAAGCCTGATGTTTGTTGCTATGGAAGAGGGTATTTTTAAAATATGGGATACAATAAAATATTAGTTGCTTTGTACTTTACATGCTAGGACATCGCTTTGTGCATTACTTTTAACATATTTGTTCCAGTATTTAAGGGTTTGGTTACAGTTCATAACCATTTTGACTAAGTTATTAAAAATAAACCTTCTAATTTAAATGAAATGGAAAATATTTCCTCATCTCTGGGAGAAAAATATTTCTGTCTTGCTCAAGTTCAAACCCAAGGTCTTGGGTATGCCACACAGGAGCTCTAACACTGGGCCACATCGCCAGCCCGTATCTTTGTTTTGATGCTGACCGTGTGGACTTTATTTCTTGAATACTTGCACGTCCACTGGCTTGGTCATTAGGGGCGGGTCTACTGATGGTGGCTTCCTCTCTGTCTTTATTTACTATCTGCCTTCTCATGGAGACCCTACCTGTGGCCCTTTCAAAGATAACACTTTGCCAAGGAATTCAAAAAGTGCAGCCATGCACCCCATTCATTGGGGTGGTGCTGGACTCAGATACTTTGCGTTTGAATCCTGGATTTCTTAGATACTTGCTCCAGGATAAGTCCTTCACCTATCTGGGATTTAGTTTACTTATTTAGAAGAAAAAACAATAATAGTAATCTTGGGAGGTCAAATACAGATTAAACATGGGAAAGCAAAGCAGCCCTTCAATAGCAGGGAGCCAGCCTGGTACACACAGTTCAGCAGTGGCATTCTCCTGCTGGACAGTTTTATGGAACACCATTGTCTGGTAGGGCCAGTCTGTAAAAATAATGGATCAAGACAAAAACAAGGCACCTTCCTAATGTCCAAACACATATAATTACAAAAGTATTATTTAAATCATTGCTTTATTCTTTTTACTCTCAAATAAGAATTGATTCTCAATCATAGAATTACTCCCACGTTCTTACATTATCACAGCAAACCCCTGCTTTCTTTAGTTGCCCCTCAAATCATCTATAACAGCCCCAATTTTATAACAAGTCCTTTGAACACTCTTTTACCTAGATGCCAGGTCGCAGTGATGTGTCTCCTCCTTTGTTGCAAGGAGTCTATAAAACTGATGATTGCTAGTGCATTCCTAGTGGTCTTTGTTAGGACCTCACCCTGTCACTGCCTGGAATCTTTATCTCACTTTATTCTTCATAGCTCCCATCACCATCTGATACATTCTGGATTTACTTTTCTGTCTTCCTTATCTCACTGGAAAGAATGTTCCATAACAACAGGGACTTTGTTTTATTCAGACCATACCTCAAAAACAGAATGGTTTTGTCACATGGTAAACATTTGATAAACATTAGCTGAATGAATGAGTAAAGACCATAGCATGCTGTCGGGGAAACAGCGAGCATTCCATCAGTGGCAGCTGTTGTCATTATTACATTGAAAACAATTCTGATATCAAGGTAGCTATTGCGAATAATCATTCAAAGGCACATTGCTGCAGATAAAGCAATAGTGAATAAAGACCACGGTTTCCGTGAGCCATATTGGGGGTAGCAAGTTTAGCCCAATTCCTTTCATTTCCATGGCTCTAGACCCAGCCTGAAAACATCATCCAAGTGCATTCATCTGTGTGAATTGCTCCCACAAGCAGAGTGTAATACAAAGCGAGGCAAGCTAATTATCTGGCAAAATGAGGTCTGTGTTGACTAAGTCAGGCGTCCTTGTTTTTGCACAATTTCATAGAATTGCAGAAGCAATTTGGCTGGTTGCCTGCGTGGTCTGAATTACTCTGAAATAATACTCTCTTTGTAAATTTAATTTTTGCATTAGCTGGACTTCTTTTCCTTCTTTCACTCACTTTTTGATTATTTCTGTCTTTTGGGGCTGTGCTTAAGAGTTTTCCAGGTATGAGGTGCTTATACTGCTTATTATGTACACTTAGGAACTGCAAATAGGGAAGTGTTGTTTTTAGTGAGTCTGCTGTTTGTACTGAATTGTTTCAGCAGCAAAGATTCTGATTAGAGGACCAAATAGATCCTATGAGCTGAGCATTTTGGACATCTGCCTACTAAAACATTCTAAAAGTTACACCTTTTTGGAAACTTATGGAATGAGATCATTTCCCCCCAAGGAACAGTTAGCTTGTGTTTTCTAACAAGGTAGTAGAGCCAGTCTGCTGCTTGGTCCATCTTTTGAACAGTAGCAGCGTTCACTTGTATGAAGAGGCTTACTGCCAGCAATTTTTAAATGGGGAACCAGCCCCTTGTTGGATTATATGGAGAAGTTTGCTCAAGAAAGTAGAAATCTTGCAAGGAATTTATTTGGTATGGTTAAACTGCTGGCCTCTGAAAGGTTGCTTGGCAATTCTTCTAGGATTTAAATGTCAGTATCTGTGTTCTTTGATGCAATAAAGCGTGTGCATGCAGGGTACCTTTAATTTTTAAGTCCCAACACATAGTTGTATTATTTGTATTGATTCTAATTAACATTTAGACCTCTTTGTTTCTCCCAATTTTGAAGAAAACCCACCTTTTATTTTTCAAATACACTTTTTTTTCTTTCATGGTGGTCTGGTTTCTTGAGAAACTACACAAAGCAAAACTTTTAAACCATCCTTTGTAAAATAGATTAATGTATTAGCTCGTCAGTGGTTCATTTTTCAGCTTGCTTTCATCACATTTATAAAACATGTTTGTCATTTTTCTTGGTAAGTAAAGTTCAACAGATTGTTATGTCAGGAGTCTAAATGTTATCAAATGCTTAGTTTCAGACAGAGAAGAAGATAATTTTGGGTTTGACAGCTGTCTTATTTTCTTGATTTAGAAAGACACCATCTCTAAACTTGCTAATGTGATAATTGCATGGCACATTTGTTTGGTCTTCCAAGATTTAATATTAATAAATATCTCCATGGTGACTACTGGCCATCACTTAATATTCTTCAGTTTTCTTAATTTATATTGTCAAACGATAATTTCTTCCTTTAATGAATGGCTGCTGTTTCTGTTAGGACTTCTGTTTGCTAAGCTGAGGAACTTATGATTATGTTAGAACTAACTTCATTACATGGCTGATTGTAACTGTTGCTGCTTTTAGAGACTTTTTGAAGGTGCTAAGAGTTTTTAATGAATATAGCGAGTTTGTCATGTTGTTTTAATCAACAAAAATATTTGTATCTGATAATTAAGTCCTAGAGTAAAATTCCAGGACTATACCACCAAGTGCATCCGTTTCTACTGATCTCATTACCTGATAAGATGTTAGTGTTCTTCCCTGAGGTTTAAACTTCTGAGACCTTGAAAAAAGAAATTTTAATTATGAGAATTTCCAGATTGCAGAAATATCGATGTTAATTGCTTCTTCTACCAGTATGTGTTTCCCTGGAGGTGTTGGAATGTGCTTCATGATGCTGGCTGGGCCCTGGGGATGGAAGAAAAGAAGCAAACAGGAGCCAGAAAAGTGATGATCAGACAAGCTCACACTGGGGAGTAATAAGTGGACAGGAAAGATTATTTATAGCGAATGGCAGAAATATTATACCTAGCAATGAAAGCTGAGTGAGTGGGCTGGGAGAAGAGACTGAAGAGCAGAATTATTTGAGAAAATCTTCTCCAGAATAAGAGGAAGATAGGTAGGTTCTCAATCTCAAAACAGGGCTGAAAGGAACGAGGCGGTGGGCAGGATGTCCCTTAGCAACTTTACAGACACAGTGTTAATTTCTCCACTGCCCCCAGTACAGGTGCTAGAGCCCTGTAGTGCATAGAGCAGACCCTCAGAATCCAGAAGAAATGGTGATGGGAGTTGTGGGGACAGGTCACAGCTTGGTTGAGAACAAAGGCGGAACCCCTCTTGACCTCTTCTCGGTTTTAGGAATAACAGATTTCATCTAGATGTTTCACTACTGAATATGGCTAGGCTAGGTGGAGCTGATAGGAAAAATCTAGAAGAATGAAAAATAGCCAAGCACAGCCTTTGCCCACCTTCCTCTAAAGTAGACCAGTTTTAATCATTTTGCTGATCTTAATTTCTTAAATGCTTTGATTCACAAGATGGGTTCAATGATTATTGCTGTGGTTCTGTAATACATAATTCTCCCTGATGAGCAAGACTTCTTCTCTTCTACCAGCTCCAGCTCCTATCTCCTTTCCCCTTAGCTTCTAAGACAAAGGTGTCCAAGTATTCATGGTTCGAGTATTCATGGTTATATTTACATGCCATACACATTAATTAAACATTGAAAGTAACTACAAAACATATCTTGTTAGGTTATCCTTAAAAAACATGGATTTCAGCAATAACACGAAATCACTAAAGAAAAAGGACAGTGACACAGACCTTTATTTCAGGTCATTTAGTTCAGTTACAGCAATGTCCTCTTGTCTTCTTAATGCCTTTCTAAGGGAGTGTTTTACTGCAAGCTATTTGATGATCCAAGATTAAGTTTCTTGAGACTCTTCGTATTAAAAATGTCTGTACTCTGAGGAAGCATCTTAGTAAGTCTCTTCTTCAGGTTTCCAAGATCCAAGGTCTGGTTGTCTAATGGCAATTATCATGGAAACTTCAGGTTCAGTTTCATCTGTTGCAGAAGTCTCTGTGCTAGAGGTTATGTGAGGGTAGGGAGCCATGGCAGCAGCAAAGGATGACATAGCTCGGTCTTGGGGTGTGCTGTGGAGGTAAGAATTGATCAGCTTAAGGCAAGACTTCCCAATGGATTGAACGTAGTGGATAAAGTAGATTCAAGAGTGATTGGGCCAGGGACTTAGCTCAGTGTTGCCACTGCCCATCTCGCAAGTGGAAGGTCCCAAGTTCGATCCCAGTCCAAAAAAAAAAAAAAAAAAAGGCCGATTGATATTTCTGGCCTTCAGGTGTGTCAGTTGTGGACCCATCTTCTTAATGGAGGAGGATGATTTCAGTGTGATTATCGGAAGAGCATTTGGATGGAAGGAAAAGTGGAAACTACATGGTGTGTGTAGATAGGCCCTTGTTTCAGGTGTGTGTGTGTGTGTGTGTGTG